ATATACATACCTATGGACACAGAAGCTTCTTCAAGTTCTATATTCTGCGACCCTGGCGACTCAAAAGCTCATTCTAACATTGAAGTGCTCAATGTAAATAATGTGGATTCTGCAGGCGGGGTGGTGTTGAATGATGAAAAGCTGCTAGAATTTATACAGATGTATCCATTTTTATACAATCCACGCGTACGCCCATTTGAGGATCCCGATTATGACGAATGGGCATGGAACCGCATTACATCAGCGTTCAATGTGACCTATACGGGATTCCTGCCACCAGTCCTTTTCACCAAAGCGGACTTACAGCGTCGCTGGAACAAACTACAACCAATTATAAAGAAAATGGCGAAAATGCTAGATTTAACTGCAATACCAGAACCCTTGCGGCAGCTAATTGTAAAGATCAGTATTCAGCTCGAGGATCAATTTACCGACGTTCGAGTAAATAGTTTATCGCCTGCGCAACAAATCATTAACGATAATATGAAAATGGTCGAACAATTGCCACTGAATAAACGACTACAGTTGGAAGCTGAAATGATGGAATTGATATTAAGTGGCGAATTGGAAGCTAAAGCCACAGTCAAGTTAACGGAGTGGAATTTACAAAGCGTGGAAGAGGAATACGATGAATTGCTCAATTTGATGAACATTAAGGAACTTATTGTATTAAAATCTACCGATACGCCCTTAATGAATGAAGCGATAGATAATTCTCAGGAACAGTTGGTTTCAAGTACTACGTCGAATGCATCATGTGAAATTAACTTGGCCAGTGATAGTAGCTCGGACGCAAAATATGAAGGGACAAATGTTATAGATTTCGAAGCTGAAATGGGCGACGGCACACAAATATATAAATCGCCTAGGTATAATAAAAATAAAATTGATGATGGTTTACAACCAGCTTCCACTAAATATAGGAAAATATCACTTAAACCTAAAACAGTAATGCAATGGGTTCCTTTGGAAGATGCCCATAAGTACGTAAATCGCTGTATGGTTCGGTTGAAACGTACGAATATGGAAGACTATATACCACTGTCGTTCATAAGGCGACAACGTAAAAGTTCAACGCGTTCCCAATAGCGAAACCACGATTTCAAATTAATAGTAACATACAATAATCATATAATTATATGTACTTAGTTTTATGGCAAGAAAATGAAATATTTACTCCACTCTACTAAAATAAAATGTCTAATAAAAGGACTAAATCATATTAACTTGTTTGCTTTTATTAAATAATGTCAGAACTATGGAAGTAGAGGGATCACCTGCAAACCTACTGCAATCTAAAAAAAATATATTTTTAAATGAGTATAGGAAACGCCATTTTTGGGTTTCTAGATAAATCACACATTTTTTATATACATACATACTGTCATGGAATAAGGTCAAATAGAGCCTTTTTCATTTTTAATAAGAATGGGAATTATATTCAGAAAGAATGGATATCCTGATAGCAAAATTGGGGATACATATTGGACGGATAACAAAAAAAAAAAACGGATAATCTGGCGGATACTGCAATTCACTCCCATGTGAATATAGGGACTGCAGTAGCTAGCTATAAACAACTAACTGCCATATTTAATAACAATTCCAACCCGAGTGTGAGTTGCAATACGTAATCGACCCATCAGATATCTAAGCGTAGAAAATTTAATCAATACGTCTGACCCTTTTGTTTCTTTGCAGAGTAGTTACGAAATTTTATAAAAACCAAAGTCTTCAGCTGCAATTTACCATATCAACAAACCCTTTTCCCCACTAATGATAACTGAAACAAATTTTTTTTTTATTTCATATCGTCTTTTGCATATGTATATGTATATCTTTTAAATTTCGTTCACGCTTTTTTTTTGCTTAATTTTATAAACAATTCCTTTTTAAACGTAAATCGTACTAAAAAAAAGAAAAATTAAATAGGAGGGAAAATGCTGAAAACACGAGTACACTTTTTGTTTAATATCAAAATTTCATATCAAAAATACAAAATAGTGCGGCGGCAGCTTCTTTACTCAGTGACTTTTACTTAGAATACATAAGCAGTAATTAAAAAATGTGTACCATTCCGTTATACACACCAACGGAACACATAAGAAACCATTTTAGAAAAAAGACTGTAATCATGTCATAAACAAAGTTGTACATTGTATATAAGAATTTCGGCAATAAATGGAACTTAAAATAAAATGCAAAATGTATGTATGTTTGTATAGCAAGTAGAACTCAATTTCATTTTAGAAGATACATAAACAGATTTGTATGCACCTAAGCTAAATTTAAAGCAATGGCCAGTGTGATGGCGATGCGCAATAAACATCTCCGTCAATTGAATACAAACATGTACATATGTATATAAGTAAGTATGTATATGTCTTTATGTCACACTACTTAGATAGCATCTGAGATTAAGGAAAATTTAGTTAAGATCCTTTCTAACACTATTCGATGCAACAGTTAAAGCTAAACATGAAGGTAAAATATTAGAAATGTTCAAATAATTTTCGAGAAATTTAAAAAAGTGTATTGCAAAGTACCAGTATGTACATGTATGTTATGTGCCTTGTGGATAAAAAATACCAAGTCAAATATAGTCCGCGTCCATAACTGAGTTGGCAGACTTCTTTAAAAATAGGTAAAAATAAAAATTATCGTAGCCTCCTACTGTTTTAGGCAAGAACGAACATGCATATCCAAATTTAGCACGTTTGATAATATTAAAAGTATACATTTTGTGGAAAACGCAATCAAACTTTTTTCAATTCATACAGTATACAAAAATACAGATGAAAAAACGTATATATTTTCAATTTTAGGAAACATATAACTATCGTTAAGAGTCAACATAATTCCTATTTGGTTGTTGTTGTTTCCGACAGGGTGGGTGTATGATGTATTTTGGAACGAATTTCCAAACACTCAACATAATCTGCTTATCAAGCTTATTAATTGTATGATGAAATCTCCAAAAATTTAAGCTTGAAATAATTCTCTAAATTATTAAACGTGCGAAATGTTGAATATGCTTTGGCATGCATATGTATGTATGTATGTATATACATACGTAGCTCAGGTCATGGTACAGCCATTCCTATAAGCTCTCTCATTATTTTCAAATGGATATCCATACATCTTTCATTAAAAAAACTTCTTTGATACATACATATATGTATGTATGCATGTATGCTGATCTGTTACAACTATTTTAATTGAGATATGAGCTTAAGAGTGTTGTATACGCTTCACGATCGCCATCTTTACGCCTAGTCAATTAAAACAAAACAATAGGACAAATAACGTTTGCTTATGCATCAGTTTATACAAATTTTTCAACAATAATAATTATTTATAATCCCGGCAATTTTCATTGTGTAACAGTAAAACTGAGCTTTTCTGTGTGACCTAGTAAGTACACGTCGTAGTTCTCGACTAATAATTACCAAATCTATCTTTAAATATAAGCCATTTTTCTTAAGAAATTGGGTACTTAAATTTTTAAACGACTTCAAAAAAGGAGGAAAGGTTATCAGTTCAACAGAATTTTTTATAACGATTTAATAGATAACGGCTCTGAACTTACTCATATTTACCGTTATGATGTAGAATTGCGAAAAATTTTATTGTCTCCTTGGAATAAATGTCGTAATTGCACGTCTGGTTTTGTGGGACTCGGTCAAAATCGCTTAGGCGGTTACAAAAGAAGAATTTTAATTAAAATTGACTATTCAAGACATGACTAATCGAAAAAAATTATTCTTACGGAATTTTGACAAAAAAAAAATGCCGTAGAAAAGAGGAAAAACTGGCGCAATTTCTATTTTTTCCGAAAAATTCACATAATGTACCATTTTTCTACTTTTTTCTTTTACTTTTAATAAATATTCTTAATTTTAAGCCCATATTTAAACTAGCATATGAAATAGTTAAGCTGAAAATTTTTAGTTGGAGTTTTCAAACACAATTCTGTAAACTACTCAATAATGCCTACGACGTGTACTTGGTTACTTAAAAATTTCGTGCAAGTATTCTTTATTTTGTTGCACCGTGTTATTGTTAGAAAACCTTAAAAATCTAAGTTTAATGGGCTTAACGTTGAAGAGGAAGCGTACCTCTATAATGTAATTTACATATCGTCGCTACCATGTCAAACTATCGAATGTGAAAATGGGTACTTTTCAGGAAAAGAAAAAAACGTTTGCAAAAGAACTGTTGCAAAAAATGTTGTTGTCATTAGGAAAAAGTGTGGGATTCGACAACTTGTTAAACACAGTATCCTCTGCTTCTAAGTAGACTAGAAATTCGACGATTTGCCAACTCACGTACCATTTTAAACGCATGCGCAAGGTATCGTAAATGGAAAAGCATTTTAGCACATTCGATAGTTGGACATGGTAGCGACGATATGTCATTTGAAAAATATTAAAATTTGTTGAAAAACAGCTAACATACATAACAACGCATAGCACTAATGAAATGAGTTTTCCAACGGTTGGTAAATGTTTTTGTGTGTGTGTTGTGTTTATGTAGGTATGTGTGTACATAATTCGTGTCGCTTGTTCATGTTTTATTCGCCGTTCCCTCTAAAACAGGGTACCTATTAGCGTTCCGATATTCATACTGGAACCCTCCCGAAATTTCAAGCCCACTCCTTTGCCATATGCGCGGATAAAGGTGCCACGGACAGCATTCAAACGCTTTTCACGTCTAATGAATATATAAAAAATATAGAGAACTTAGTTGTTTAGTAAATTTAATGTACAATAAAATTGTTAAAAACTTACGCTGTTAGTAATTTTTTCCGATTCGACATCGTTGCTGCCAAATCAGCTGTGTCAGCATTAGCGCTTGTCTCGACACCTTCGGTGGTCGTCGGCAACATATGGATACCGTTGTAGCTGCCTGCGCTGCCATTGCTGCTGACGCTAGTATTATGTATGCTTGAACCACTATCTAAGGTGTCGCTGCCGCTGTTTCTACTGGAACAACTACTGGAGCCATTACTTAATGGAATGCCGTTGCTTGAATGCTCCGAATTACTCTCTGAGCGTTGCGCAATGAAGTTTCGCATATAACTGCCCGTTATCTGTGAATCTATGGAGCCAGTATCTGTAACTACTTGCCAACTGCCATTCGATGATACCGATTCTTGACGCTGGCGTGTAGTTGGCACCGATATAGGACTAGTGCGTGAGCTGGAGAGGAAGTGGTGGAATAAATACATGTATGTATGTATGAGATCATGTGCACAATATGCATATCGCATTCGAAAAAATGTCATACCGTTTAGGATTTGGCGAACGACTAGTAATTGCATTATTAATTGCTGTTGTTGCTTGTGGTGGAGAAGCATTAGCCACTACCAATCCATAAAAGGAATCATTTATTGCCATTTCACCGTTGGAATAACTATCGTTACTGTCTTGATCGATGGCGGCTTGAAGCAATTCTCTGCAGAAAAAAGTGTATTAAATAGTATGAAACTTTGACGCAAAAATAAACAAGAAAGCGAGTTGATACTAGTAAACGCGATCAAAAAGGCGATAACTAATAACATACTCTCGAATAGGTGCATCATCGTCCTGCTTCAGCGTTACTATGTTACTACTACCGCTACAGCTACTACTGCTTGTTTTTGTTCGTTTCCTAAAAGCAAGGAAACATATTTTAGAATACTAGTAAGTAAAGCAAACTCAAACACTAAATTAATTGCAAAAGTGCCCATGTAACAGCTACAACGACTACTAAATACAGCATACAAGTACGTACCTATGCTCGACTAAACTAAACTCTTCGCCGGTTATAAATTTCAACATATGAAAGCAGAAGAGCATTATATCTTCGCCACGTTTTTCCCGATCGGGAAGTTGATGACCAAACAAATACCAATCGTAAGCCAAAGTCAAGTAAGTGATCTGCATATAGTCTAGCGATTGATGTATAAGACCGTCCGCCCAAAGCGATAAGCGTAGCAAGGAAATGAAGAGCGGTGTACGATCCCACCCGCTGATACAGTGCACCAGCAGGCCAGTATTCTCCTCCTGTACATACTTCAGCATTGCTTTGAGGTAATTTTGTGTGATTTCCACTAGGTCCCATTTCTGGTAATCCTCCCAGTTAACATCAAGGTCCATTGCTGGCCCAATTTTCGGTATGCTGATATTGGCATCGTTGAATGGCAGTTTCCAATTGTAGTGTAAATTATTTGCCATATAATTGT